TGGCGTTCAACCTTTCTTATGGTCCAATATTTATCATATACTTACTAGTAATAGTATAGTATTAATTAGTATCATATACCAATAGTATAATAGTCTCCTCTTTGATGATATGGTTGTTAACTATCAGGCCACTTGTTATGGGAATTGAGGGTTCAGCTTGATTGTACAGTCTCAGAAAGAATTATATAGTTTGGGTATCCTCTTAGAATTGTCATTAGAGGTCCAAGCAATTTCAGTGGCTAGGAGGATCAATGCCAATTTTAGTTTGTGTATCAAAAATGTCCTTTCTTGGATACATACAGGACCTATATACATTAGTTACGGTTGTTCCTGCAATAGTAATCTCACGTTTATCTTACTATAACATGTACAATATGGACCAGCTTTGTACTTGATTTTGAAGCTTCCATTTGTAGAATTGCAATGGCCATGTTGCTTGGAAAAATATCTGGCCATATATTGTTTTATAGCCATCACCTGGATAACAAGCTAGGGTCAAATTTCTGATTATAATATATTGTACAAAACTCTATAGAACTTGGGGCAAGCTGTAAATCCTTTACAGCTTGATAGACCTTTGCCATTACTGACATAAGGTTCTTCCATACCATTCACTAAATGCTCCAGGAAATGGGTTTGCAGAACATGAATGGATGATGTTGCCTTTAACTTATCTCCATCCTATCGTAAATGTAGCTTGTGCTTATGTCTTTTTGCTTCTAAATGGTGCCTTTAAAAAAGACTGCCACAATGAGCCATGCTAAGCAGCCAAAATGGCTTCCTTCTTACGAAAGCAAGATGAGGGAAAGAGACCTGTCCTACTCTTACCAAGCACTTGAGGCTATTGATTTTGGCTTTTTGGCAATCCTGACTCTCCCAATGTGCCAAAATGTCATTTCCCCACTTCCTTCCCAGGAGAAAAGTGGGGAGAGGAGGGTGAAAATAACCCCTTTGATAATTGCTCTGTGGAACTAGAGAACAAGGAAACTAAAAAGACTCATTTCTCTTCCTTCTTTTCAAACATTATTCCTGTAATGCATGCATGGGGAGTGGGGTTTTGGATCCTCTTACCTGGCTTGCCAGTATGGTGGAAAGAGGGCACACAATTGTTGGTCCTAGGATGCTTCTCCATAACATTGTCTGATCAGAACAACTGTTAGCATCATTGCTGTGACATGGACGATATCTGGATAATAGGGTTTTAGGCTGCAGATCCCATAATTAATAACTGTCATGGAAGATTCACATGGCTGCATAGCGCCACCTGGTGGCTCATCTCTCTAATGGAATCTGCATCTCATAACATTCTTGAAGTAACCACTCAAATCTTTTATTTACCTCTTCATCCTGGCCTTTCATTTACACGAATGTTGAATCCTCAATTGACAGCCACAATTGAGCCCAATTTATATTGCTAACCAAGACAGTTAAGTGAGTTTTCCCCCTATTGTCTGACGCCAAGGTGGCGCAGTGGTTAAATGCAGCACTGCAGGCTACTGCTAGATCAGCAGTTCAGCGGTTCAAATCTCACCGGCTCAGGGTTGACTCAG